GTATGATCGCACCCGTTTGTTTATGACGCGCAAACGCATATATGCCTTTCCGAGAGGATCTTGAACGTTTATTCGGCGGCGTAGGCCCCACTTGATGCTTAGGCCCGATCCGGAGTCCTAAGTGACCCTTATGTGAGAGGGAGGATGGATGCATCCAAAAAACACTATGCATAGCACTTTCGATTCATTGATTTGTGTCCGCACCAGAAAACGGCCCGGAAAAGCGTCCAAACGCCATTTTTTGGGGTCCAAACGATATTTTACGCCTAGAGCTCTTTTGGAGCTTCACGAAAAGTGGTTGGTGGCAGCATACGGCCTCACGGTCTTCCAGCTACGCATTTTGGAAGTTTCAGATAGAAATACAGAAAAAAATTAACAAAAAAAGGGGTGCAACACGAGGACTTCCCGGGAGGTCACCCATCCTAGTACTACTCTCGCCCAAGCACGCTTACTGCGGAGTTCTGATGGGATCCGGTGCATTAGTGCTGGTATGATCGCACCCGTTTGTTTATGACGCGCAAACGCATATATGCCTTTCCGAGAGGATCTTGAACGTTTATTCGGCGGCGTAGGCCCCACTTGATGCTTAGGCCCGATCCGGAGTCCTAAGTGACCCTTATGTGAGAGGGAGGATGGATGCATCCAAAAAACACTATGCATAGCACTTTCGATTCATTGATTTGTGTCCGCACCAGAAAACGGCCCGGAAAAGCGTCCAAACGCCATTTTTTGGGGTCCAAACGATATTTTACGCCTAGAGCTCTTTTGGAGCTTCACGAAAAGTGGTTGGTGGCAGCATACGGCCTCACGGTCTTCCAGCTACGCATTTTGGAAGTTTCAGATAGAAATACAGAAAAAAATTAACAAAAAAAGGGGTGCAACACGAGGACTTCCCGGGAGGTCACCCATCCTAGTACTACTCTCGCCCAAGCACGCTTACTGCGGAGTTCTGATGGGATCCGGTGCATTAGTGCTGGTATGATCGCACCCGTTTGTTTATGACGCGCAAACGCATATATGCCTTTCCGAGAGGATCTTGAACGTTTATTCGGCGGCGTAGGCCCCACTTGATGCTTAGGCCCGATCCGGAGTCCTAAGTGACCCTTATGTGAGAGGGAGGATGGATGCATCCAAAAAACACTATGCATAGCACTTTCGATTCATTGATATTGTGTCCGCACCAGAAAACGGCCCGGAAAAGCGTCCAAACGCCATTTTTTGGGGTCCAAACGATATTTTACGCCTAGAGCTCTTTTGGAGCTTCACGAAAAGTGGTTGGTGGCAGCATACGGCCTCACGGTCTTCCAGCTACGCATTTTGGAAGTTTCAGATAGAAATACAGAAAAAAATTAACAAAAAAAGGGGTGCAACACGAGGACTTCCCGGGAGGTCACCCATCCTAGTACTACTCTCGCCCAAGCACGCTTACTGCGGAGTTCTGATGGGATCCGGTGCATTAGTGCTGGTATGATCGCACCCGTTTGTTTATGACGCGCAAACGCATATATGCCTTTCCGAGAGGATCTTGAACGTTTATTCGGCGGCGTAGGCCCCACTTGATGCTTAGGCCCGATCCGGAGTCCTAAGTGACCCTTATGTGAGAGGGAGGATGGATGCATCCAAAAAACACTATGCATAGCACTTTCGATTCATTGATTTGTGTCCGCACCAGAAAACGGCCCGGAAAAGCGTCCAAACGCCATTTTTTGGGGTCCAAACGATATTTTACGCCTAGAGCTCTTTTGGAGCTTCACGAAAAGTGGTTGGTGGCAGCATACGGCCTCACGGTCTTCCAGCTACGCATTTTGGAAGTTTCAGATAGAAATACAGAAAAAAATTAACAAAAAAAGGGGTGCAACACGAGGACTTCCCGGGAGGTCACCCATCCTAGTACTACTCTCGCCCAAGCACGCTTACTGCGGAGTTCTGATGGGATCCGGTGCATTAGTGCTGGTATGATCGCACCCGTTTGTTTATGACGCGCAAACGCATATATGCCTTTCCGAGAGGATCTTGAACGTTTATTCGGCGGCGTAGGCCCCACTTGATGCTTAGGCCCGATCCGGAGTCCTAAGTGACCCTTATGTGAGAGGGAGGATGGATGCATCCAAAAAACACTATGCATAGCACTTTCGATTCATTGATTTGTGTCCGCACCAGAAAACGGCCCGGAAAAGCGTCCAAACGCCATTTTTTGGGGTCCAAACGATATTTTACGCCTAGAGCTCTTTTGGAGCTTCACGAAAAGTGGTTGGTGGCAGCATACGGCCTCACGGTCTTCCAGCTACGCATTTTGGAAGTTTCAGATAGAAATACAGAAAAAAATTAACAAAAAAAGGGGTGCAACACGAGGACTTCCCGGGAGGTCACCCATCCTAGTACTACTCTCGCCCAAGCACGCTTACTGCGGAGTTCTGATGGGATCCGGTGCATTAGTGCTGGTATGATCGCACCCGTTTGTTTATGACGCGCAAACGCATATATGCCTTTCCGAGAGGATCTTGAACGTTTATTCGGCGGCGTAGGCCCCACTTGATGCTTAGGCCCGATCCGGAGTCCTAAGTGACCCTTATGTGAGAGGGAGGATGGATGCATCCAAAAAACACTATGCATAGCACTTTCGATTCATTGATATTGTGTCCGCACCAGAAAACGGCCCGGAAAAGCGTCCAAACGCCATTTTTTGGGGTCCAAACGATATTTTACGCCTAGAGCTCTTTTGGAGCTTCACGAAAAGTGGTTGGTGGCAGCATACGGCCTCACGGTCTTCCAGCTACGCATTTTGGAAGTTTCAGATAGAAATACAGAAAAAAATTAACAAAAAAAGGGGTGCAACACGAGGACTTCCCGGGAGGTCACCCATCCTAGTACTACTCTCGCCCAAGCACGCTTACTGCGGAGTTCTGATGGGATCCGGTGCATTAGTGCTGGTATGATCGCACCCGTTTGTTTATGACGCGCAAACGCATATATGCCTTTCCGAGAGGATCTTGAACGTTTATTCGGCGGCGTAGGCCCCACTTGATGCTTAGGCCCGATCCGGAGTCCTAAGTGACCCTTATGTGAGAGGGAGGATGGATGCATCCAAAAAACACTATGCATAGCACTTTCGATTCATTGATTTTGTGTCCGCACCAGAAAACGGCCCGGAAAAGCGTCCAAACGCCATTTTTTGGGGTCCAAACGATATTTTACGCCTAGAGCTCTTTTGGAGCTTCACGAAAAGTGGTTGGTGGCAGCATACGGCCTCACGGTCTTCCAGCTACGCATTTTGGAAGTTTCAGATAGAAATACAGAAAAAAATTAACAAAAAAAGGGGTGCAACACGAGGACTTCCCGGGAGGTCACCCATCCTAGTACTACTCTCGCCCAAGCACGCTTACTGCGGAGTTCTGATGGGATCCGGTGCATTAGTGCTGGTATGATCGCACCCGTTTGTTTATGACGCGCAAACGCATATATGCCTTTCCGAGAGGATCTTGAACGTTTATTCGGCGGCGTAGGCCCCACTTGATGCTTAGGCCCGATCCGGAGTCCTAAGTGACCCTTATGTGAGAGGGAGGATGGATGCATCCAAAAAACACTATGCATAGCACTTTCGATTCATTGATTTGTGTCCGCACCAGAAAACGGCCCGGAAAAGCGTCCAAACGCCATTTTTTGGGGTCCAAACGATATTTTACGCCTAGAGCTCTTTTGGAGCTTCACGAAAAGTGGTTGGTGGCAGCATACGGCCTCACGGTCTTCCAGCTACGCATTTTGGAAGTTTCAGATAGAAATACAGAAAAAAATTAACAAAAAAAGGGGTGCAACACGAGGACTTCCCGGGAGGTCACCCATCCTAGTACTACTCTCGCCCAAGCACGCTTACTGCGGAGTTCTGATGGGATCCGGTGCATTAGTGCTGGTATGATCGCACCTTTGTTTATGACGCGCAAACGCATATATGCCTTTCCGAGAGGATCTTGAACGTTTATTCGGCGGCGTAGGCCCCACTTGATGCTTAGGCCCGATCCGGAGTCCTAAGTGACCCTTATGTGAGAGGGAGGATGGATGCATCCAAAAAACACTATGCATAGCACTTTCGATTCATTGATTTTGTGTCCGCACCAGAAAACGGCCCGGAAAAGCGTCCAAACGCCATTTTTTGGGGTCCAAACGATATTTTACGCCTAGAGCTCTTTTGGAGCTTCACGAAAAGTGGTTGGTGGCAGCATACGGCCTCACGGTCTTCCAGCTACGCATTTTGGAAGTTTCAGATAGAAATACAGAAAAAAATTAACAAAAAAAGGGGTGCAACACGAGGACTTCCCGGGAGGTCACCCATCCTAGTACTACTCTCGCCCAAGCACGCTTACTGCGGAGTTCTGATGGGATCCGGTGCATTAGTGCTGGTATGATCGCACCCGTTTGTTTATGACGCGCAAACGCATATATGCCTTTCCGAGAGGATCTTGAACGTTTATTCGGCGGCGTAGGCCCCACTTGATGCTTAGGCCCGATCCGGAGTCCTAAGTGACCCTTATGTGAGAGGGAGGATGGATGCATCCAAAAAACACTATGCATAGCACTTTCGATTCATTGATTTTGTGTCCGCACCAGAAAACGGCCCGGAAAAGCGTCCAAACGCCATTTTTTGGGGTCCAAACGATATTTTACGCCTAGAGCTCTTTTGGAGCTTCACGAAAAGTGGTTGGTGGCAGCATACGGCCTCACGGTCTTCCAGCTACGCATTTTGGAAGTTTCAGATAGAAATACAGAAAAAAATTAACAAAAAAAGGGGTGCAACACGAGGACTTCCCGGGAGGTCACCCATCCTAGTACTACTCTCGCCCAAGCACGCTTACTGCGGAGTTCTGATGGGATCCGGTGCATTAGTGCTGGTATGATCGCACCCGTTTGTTTATGACGCGCAAACGCATATATGCCTTTCCGAGAGGATCTTGAACGTTTATTCGGCGGCGTAGGCCCCACTTGATGCTTAGGCCCGAACCGGAGTCCTAAGTGACCCTTATGTGGAGAGGGTTAGAAGGCAATACCTGAGATGGAGACAGAAGAGAGACATTCGTCGGTGGAGGTGGCGGAGGGTGAGGGACCGAGCAGGGAGGCACTTGTTCTGGTGAAGGCAGACGAATCACACTCAGCGAAGTGGTGACCGATGTATCAACAACAGGAGGAGCTTCCATCGATGATGCGCTTGTACAAAAAGGGAACGTGAGCTCGTCAAACTGAACGTGTCGAGAGACATAGACTCGTTCAGTTTCGGGATCAAGACATAAGTATCCACTCTGTGTGAGAGAATACCCAACAAACACGCAAGGTTTAGAGCGAGCGTCAAGCTTGTGCGCCGTGTATGGACGCAACCAGGGAAAACATAGACAACCAAAGACCCGGAGCTTCCCATAGTTTGGCAACGTCCCAAATAAGCGATGATACGGTGAGTCATTGTTCAAGACCGGTGTGGGCAGTCTATTGATCAAGTAGACAGCAGCAGCAAAGGCATATGGCCAATAGTGCTTCAGTAATGATGCCTCGGTCATGAGAGTGAGGCCGGTTTCCACCACATGACGATGTTTACGCTCGGAGAGTCCATTGTGTTCCGGAGTGTGCGGCGGTGTAGTGAGATGTGAGATGCCGTGAGTTGCAAGAAAACTCCGTAACGCAATGAACTCTCCACCATTATCCGAGTAGAGTGTGTCAATTCGAGACTTGAAATGGTTTTCAACAAGGGCTTTAAAGGCAATGAAGGTTTCTTTTACTTGGGATTTGTGTTTGAGAGGATATAGCCAAGAATATCTAGTATAGTGATCAACAAGAATGAGGTAATATTTGTAGTTGTCAATGGAGGTAATGGGAGACGTCCAAACATCAGTAAACAAGTAATGTAATGGACGAGAGGAGACAATGGATGAAACAGAAAAAGGTAACTTATGGCTCTTATTGATGTGGCAATTCGAACAAAATAAAGTTTTGGACGGAGGAAGAAGAAGAAACAGGTAAAGAAAACTTGGAAATTATAGAGTTTAGGATAGGTGGAGATGGGTGACCAAGTCTCGAATGCCACGACGCTAACGTACTCTTAGTGGAGGAGGTAAGCATTGCCATAGCTTGTGGAGACGACACCAGCCACTCATAGAGTTCGTCCTTAGTTCTGCCTTGTAGAAGAAGTGCCCCCGTGCTGAGATCCTTCACCTGAAAGTGAGCAGGGAAGAATGTAACGGACACTTGATTAGTGTTACATAAGCGATAAACAGAAATCAAGTTCTTATGAATGTCAGGAACACAAAGAACTTTATGTAACAGCAGATCTTTAGATAAAGAGGGTAAGTGAGTAGAACCGGTATGAGAGATGGCTAAAGGAGAGCCATCACCAATTAAAACATCATCACTGCCCGTGTACGGTTGATGCAGCGAGAGATTGTTGAGACGTGATGTGGTGGGTTGCACCACTGTCAAGAAGCCAGTTACTTGCGATGTACGGAGACCCGACCGCGAGATTGGCACGAGGCTGTGACTGCCACGGTGTGAGTGGAGGATGTGGTTGCGGGGATGATTGTGAAGTCATCGCAGCGAGTTGGGGACATCTCCGCGCGCTATGTCCCTGAACACTACAGATTTGGCAACGACCTAGGTATGGACGACCAACGTTCTGGTGGGGACGAGGAGCAGACGGTGGAGATGGCCACACCACATCACTGTTGGCGTGTGAATGATTGTTGCGGTTCTGGTTGCGATTGTTGCGGTTGTAGTTGTTGTTGGAAGAGGCGGAGGAGGAGCGTTGTTGAGCGACGTTCGCAGAAGCAGGAAACGACGGAGTGAGACCACTAGACAGCAACTTGGCTTCATGGTTGAGGAGTCATTCATGAAGCTCTATGATGGACGGAGGAGCATCACGCCCTTCAACTTGATCAACAATCGGTTTGTACTCGTCTGGAAGGCCTTCAAGGATCAAGTCGATTTGATCCTCATGATCCATCGGCTTTCCAAGGATAGCGAGTTGGACGAGACGAGTGGTGGCTCCACGAAGAAATTCATCAACACTCTTGTTACCCTTCGTCCATTGCTTGAGTTGAGTTTTCAATTGCTTGATATGGCCGCGACTTGGCTTAGCGTAGGTGGAAGAGAGAGTCTCCCAGATCTCAGAGGCAGTGGTGGCACGTGACACAACAGGCTGTAGAGGCGTTGTAATCGCACCGATAAGACCACTGTAGATTAACCGATCTTGACGTTTCCAAAGGAGAAACAACGGGTTCTCGGAGACGACATCAACAGCGATGACAGTTGGAGGAGGAGCTGGTTTGGATCCATCTAGATGGCCAGCAAGGCCATAGCCATCGAGAAGGGAGTGAACTTGAAGGCTCCACATCAAGTAGTTGGAGGAGGAAAGCTTTGTAACATTAGCCATGTTGATATTCAATACGGTGGTGGCAGTGGTGTCGATAGCATCAGTGCCGTTGGCGGCCATGGCGGCAAGTGTGTTTGAAAAGAAAAAAAAGTTTTAGGTTTAGGTTTTCAGGAAAGCGTTATGCTCTGATACCATATAGGTTTGGAAAGTGAATAATATTATTAGGAGGCGATGTACAATATATATAGCACTACAAGGGAGACTCTAGGGATTATCTAATGACAATTAGACCCTTAATTACAACTATATACTATATCCTTTACATTTACAACAACCATTGGAGCCGCCATTGAAGCAACCTTCTTCAGCTTCTCCCATCCGATCTTCTTGATTTCTTGTTCTTCTTCTTTCTTAGCGTTTTCCAGTGAAGAATCTTCCATAGTGTGTCTTCTCTTTCCCTTTTGTTCCTAATGTTTAAAATTCCTATATAGAAAATGTGTCGAGTTCCAGCGAGTGCGATTTGCTAATAATTTACGCAGATTAATGGAGACAAGCTTACAGGAGGTCTACAGATTGGTGCATGTGGAGCTGTCGGTCAAGACCCTTTGAAGATAGTAGAATCGTCCGTTATAGAATTGTCTTGTAACAGTTCTCATATTTGCATAATAGATTAGTCTGTTCAAAAAAAAGGAAAACGTGTCCAGTCTAGTAGTGAAAACTAAATTTGTTTCTTTACCAAAAGAAAAGAAAGCTGAACTGATTTCTTAATTAAGATTTGACCTTCTATATTATAATTAAGGACGATGGTAAAGGGCTTTTAAAGCCCGAGTCCAACCATCCAACTAGTATGATATTGTCCGCTTTGGGTCCATGTATCTCTACCCTCACGGATTTGTTATTGGGCTTCTCTTCCCAAAAGGCCTCATACTAGTTAGGTTGGACACTACTTATATATTAGACACTTCTTGTCTAATATTCCGATGTGGGACTTGGATTGATATCCAACATTCTCCCCTTCAAGCCAAGGACCACATATCGTGTGGCTTCTCCACCTTCTCGTGGCCTTTCTGCGAAACTTGGCTCCCTTCTTGTGCTGCCGTAACTCCTCTACGGGTCTCTGCACAAGAATCTGGGCTTCCCCTTATCGCAATGTCTAGCTTGAGGGCTTTCTTCCCATATCTTTTTGTAATGCCAACATTCACAGGTCCACTTCTTTTGATCTAGGCTCTGATACCAATTAAAGGGCTTTTAAAGCCCGAGTCCAACCATCCAACTAGTATGATATTGTCCGCTTTGGGTCCATGTATCTCTACCCTCACGGATTTGTTATTGGGCTTCTCTTCCCAAAAGGCCTCATACTAGTTAGGTTGGACACTACTTATATATTAGACACTTCTTGTCTAATATTCCGATGTGGGACTTGGATTGATATCCAACATTCTCCCCTTCAAGCCAAGGACCACATATCTTGTGGCTTCTCCACCTTCTCGTGGCCTTTCTGCGAAACTTGGCTCCCTTCTTGTGCTGCCGTAACTCCTCTACGGGTCTCTGCACAAGAATCTGGGCTTCCCCTTATCGCAAGGTCTAGCTTGAGGGCTTTCTTCCCACATCTTTTTGTAATGTCAACATTCACAGGTCCACTTCTTTTGATCTAGGCTCTGATACCAATTAAAGGGCTTTTAAAGCCCAAGTCCAACCATCCAACTAGTATGATATTGTCCGCTTTGGGTCCATGTATCTCTACCCTCACGGATTTGTTATTGGGCTTCTCTTCCCAAAAGGCCTCATACTAGTTAGGTTGGACACTACTTATATATTAGACACTTCTTGTCTAATATTCCGATGTGGGACTTGGATTGATATCCAACAGATGGCTCAGTTGGCGAAGATTGGAATAGATCGTGCCAGTGCCCACTAGGTACCATGCGAGGCCATTGAGTTATTATTTGGTATGCCGATGAAAACTACAATTAATATTTGAGTATAATTATTTTAAATTATAATGATATTATGCTTTATGCTTTAAGCTTATTAGAAAATATGGTACGTGGAATACTCCACCAGTTACACTTAACTCTAATCTAAGGGTACTGTTAATGTTGATCATTACCAATTAAATTAAAATAGCATAAACTAGATCTACGGCACGTAGAGTGATAAACTATATTAAAAAGGAAAAGAGAGTATAATATTTCCACCATAAATCTTGGTGATCATATGAACTTTGTTTTGTCTTCAACCCTTTGCGGATGTCGCTTTGCAACTTGCGCTAAGTAACAAACTCTCAACGATTAATTTGATGCACAGTATAATTTCTATAACTTAATACTCCATATATTAATAAATTCAATAAGATAATAAATTTATCTGATACTTCCTCCGTTTCAAATTAGTTGTCGTTTTGGCAAAATGTATCTGCAAATATTTGGACGTATTTGGACGTGTTTTGCATTGCAGATACGTCTACATATTTGCAGATACATTTTGCCAAAACGACAACTAATTTGAAACGGAGGGAGTATGAAATTGGGCCGATTCAAAATTATGTGTTGATGCATTTTGTAAATTCAGAGTTAGATATATTCACTTCTAGTTATGCTGCTCTTCTACGAAGCGTGTGGACTTAACAAACTATAACTTTTGTTGTAGACTTGGACCACTTGGTATTTTTGAATTCACAAAATATATTAACCTCTTTGGGAGTAAGTTAGTTTAGATAGTGAACTTAATGGAAAGTAAATGTTTATTAGTACTGAAGATAGTTCTTCCACTAATGTAGCTCACGTCTGGATGCAAGTGCAACCTCCTGTCTCTGGTTCTAATAACCTTCTAAATTATTTGTTGCATTAATTTCCAATGATCAGTGAGGTAAATGCATATGCATATATTCAGTATATGTCGCCTTGATGGTTTGGCATAGGCTTCTTCTTTTTTTGGTTCGGCATAGTTGATTTTGGGATCAGTCGTTTGTTGTTGTTGACTTTTAAGATGAACATATCCCAGGTTTACGACAACATCAAAAACCTGAAGAGCAAGAATTTCTAGAAAGATGAGATATGTTTCAATTACTTCCGTGTGTTTGCAAAATATTGTGAGTTTTACAGAGCTGAACTCCGAGCATGCATGTACACCGAGTCATGCATCCATTCACTAAGTGTTAGCTTTGAAGTATTCACACGCTTTCGCAAACAAAGCATGAGGCTTTGACATAAGACAAATTAGGATGTTCATATCGCCATGACATGTGCTGTGTCATGTCCTCTAGTAGGTAGCTTTTCTTTGATCTTTCTCGAATAATTTCATATCAAGCATGCAGTAATTATTCTGCAGCACTACACATCTATTACACAAAGATGAAAGCAAGGTTCTTAAGATATGTCTGGGCATTACATTTATTCAAACACAGGGACAATGCAGAGGAACCAAACAATTAGGGTTTATGTAAAACTAGGTAATATGTTTCAATAAGAAGAAGAGCAACAAACGGGACACATTAGTGGATTTGGCATCAGCAGTAGTCTCTTACCACAACAAATTCCTCATCTTGTGGATGAAAACATCGACAACGTAAAACCAGAATCTGTTCCAAGGAGAATCAAAACAGAGAGATGCGAATAGTCCAAGAAGTATTGTCACATAGGCTGCAGCAAAACTCCAGTAGAAAGATACCATGTCCATTGGGGATTCATCATCTTCCACTCCACTATCTGGTTCTTGAAAGTTACTGCTGCCGCAACTTATGTTGATTTGTTGTCCACAGAGAAGAGGATTACCTAAGTAGCTTTGCGTATCGAAGGTGTTAAACTGCTTACCCTGTGGAATGGTTCCTGATACGTTGTTGTATGAGATATTGAAGACAGAGAGGCTGCTCAGATTTGTTAGTCCTGACGGGATCTGGCCTTGCAGTCTGTTGAAAGAAAGATCAAGGCTTTCCACATTCTTCAGACGTGAAAAGCTTTCTGGTATCACTCCTGATAACTTGTTGTGAGAAAGATTGAGAGCTCGTAGCTCCAAAAGACTTCCAAGCTCTACTGGGATATCACCACTCAACTCATTTTCTGAGAGATCTATTCCAAAGAACAACTGGAGATTTCCACTCACGTAAGTATCGTATCGGTGTTTTGTTGTAAATTCAACTGGAATTTGGGTGTTTGACCTATATTCCATAGTAAACGGTTCTAGCTCAATGAGAGATTTGAAATATATACCATTAGACTGATCCCTTAGAGTGAAGTCTTTTGGCATAGATAAAGATAAACCACCAAACTCAGTACCACGGCCGTAATCTAAATAAAAAATTGTATCCTCTTTCCCCAAACCAAATATTGTATTGATGAGGCATGAAGGTATGGATCCACTCAATCTGTTGTTTGAAAGATCAATAAGTTGGATGTTACTTAGGCCACACAACTGGCTACGAATACCGCCTGTTAAATTATTCCCCCGGAGAAGAAGAGTATGGGTGTGTTGGTTCTTGGTGAACTCCGGAATGTTTCCGGACAATCTGTTATTTCTCAGATCAAGTACAGTGACATACTTTAGCAATGTGTCTGGAATAACACCTGATAGCTTATTGTCTTGCAGGAATAATGCTACCAATAATGCTTCCGTACGCACAGAAGTCGCATTGACAAATGGAGGTATGCCCCCAGATAAACTGTTTGCAGAGAGGTCCAGTAGCTGAAGATAAGTATTGTTGAATAATGAAATAGGTATCTCACCTTCCAACGAGTTGTTTGCAACCAATAGTGTGCTTATAGATAGTTCCCCAATCCAGCTTGGAATGACACCTGTGAGACTGTTGTTCGAAATATCAAGCAATGTCATTGATCTTAAGCTTCGCAAACCTTTTCCAATCTTTCCTGTAAACTGATTGTTATCCATAGCCAGCTCCAGCATAGCAGGGAAGTTGGCTGATTCCGGAAAAAACTCTCCACTTAGTTTGTTATGTGAAAGCGTTAAGATTTTCATAGAAGAACAACCTTTCACAACACTTTTAGGTAGCTTCCCGATGAAGCTGTTGTGTGATATATCCAGATATTGAAGCCACTCCATGTTACCCAAAGATGATGGCAAATTTCCTTGAAAATCGTTATTAGCTATCTTCATATACTGCAAAT